CACGCTATCTGACATCCAGCTTTCTGTGTGTGTGATTTTTCCTTCCACTAAAAACAACATATTATAAATGATCTACAGTATGTGGTATTTTGAGCTGAAACTTTACAGACACATTCTGGGGACACCTGAGACTTGTATTACATCTTGTAAAAGTTGGCATAATAGGTCCCCTTTGTGTATTTAAGCCCTTTGTTTCCTCAGTTCATTGTTCTGTGTCGTTTCAGTTTGTGTGGTGGTCTATATTTTTTGTCTTTTAAGATTTGTGATTAAAGACTTCTTTTGGATATTCCTATTCGTCGTGTTTAATACAACCACCACTTGTGATAGAACACTGAACCAAAGATTTGTTTTAGTGCCGTTTTTTTCTTTTTCTTTTTTTAAAGTATGGACTTACCAACTTTCCGTCGCTCTATATGGAGCAGGGGCAACGGAACCTCGAGGACGACACTACACTGGCATGCCTTTCCAGACCGCTCCCTGTGCTTTTTTTACCAGCCTGAACGAGCGCACAGAGGCAGAGTTTGTGGAGTAGGTGCTGGTGTATAACGGATCTCCGTTCACCATCTGCCCCGCTGAGGAGGACATCACAAGCCCCACTCTGGACCCAGAGCTCAGCCGCTGCCTCCCACACCCTGCACAGAACCTATTGCCAGAGCCCACCGCAGACATGGAGCCGCCAGGTCAGCGCCAGAAAGAGTGACTGAGCCAACCAGCTCCCTGGAGCACGAGTCCAACGCAGAGTCTGACCAGATGTCCTGACCAAGTCTCCAGTGTCTCTGCTGGTTCCACCCAGCTCCAAGTCTCCTGTGTCTCCTCTGGTCCCGCCCAGCTCCAAGTCTCCTGTGTTTCCAAAGATCCTGCCCAGCCACTCTCTCCCACCCCCTCCGCCTATAACAGCCAGTTCCTCGGCCTCGTCTCCGCTGGTTCCCTTCAGTCCCTTGACTCTTCCTATGACAGTCTCCAGCTCCGCCTTGGCAAGAGGATCCCCTAGTTACGCCTCCAGCCACCGAGCCCGTCACTCCACCTCGGCTTGTCGACCAGTTGGCTCCATCTTGGCTCCTCTGTCCCTCGGCTCCACCTGGGACCCTCGTCCTCGCGGTTTCACCAGGCTCCCTCGTCCCTCCAGGTCTGCCTTGGTCAGTCGTTACTCTGCCTATGCCTCATACTTCTGTGCCTTCAGTTGTGCTTCGTTCCTCCACCCCTTCGGCTACGTCAGGCTCCATCTTGGTCCTCAATCACACCGGCTCCGCCTCAGTCCTCTTGCACCCAGGCTGAAAAATGTGGCTGCATGCGTGGAACGCGCACTATACTTTGGGCTTTAGGGTGTGGTTAGACCAAGCGGCAACCTCCCTGTCTCTCTCTTGAAACCAACACGGAAGTGAATTAAACTGCAATTCATCTACTGACCGCTAGAGGCAGGCTGCAAAAGTGAGTCAAATCTGCATCTCCCCCATGTTAAAATGCTCAACTTTACAGCAGAAAAAAAACATGTTTACAGCCTGGAGCAAAAAGTGGTTTTGGTCTTTATAGCTTATTTTGCCCTTCATGACAACTGTGAGGGGGGTGATTTTTTTTTTACAACTCATCCGTTTAAATTATATTAAGCCTGCATAATTAAGGGCGTAGCCACTTGAGTGACAGGTGGATTGCGGCTCCTGTCACTGTCGCACGTGAGGCTGTAGTGTGTGTGTGTCTGTGTAAGCGTCCCAGCCGTCCAGATAGAAAATATGTGGAAAAGTTCAAAAGTGTACCTACCTATGTACCAGACTCGATGGCAGAAGCACGCGATGCAATATTTTCGACAAGATAATTGCTGCCAAGACCGGCAACACGATAAATCTGATAAGGCACTGAAAAGCGCACCGAATACACTTCTGTGATAAAGTTTATCCGTCTTCGACTGCAAGAACTGGAGCGCGTCACAAATGAACCGAAACTCGGCGTATATATTTTACTTGCCTCACAGACATGACGAATAGGCCTATAGACGGTTAAAATATGTCTACTTTTAAACGAAACAATTAGAAATAAATAGTTTGATTATGTAGGCCTAATCCCAATCCTAATGTTGTTAAAACGGATTTCATAAAATTGGTATCGAAAAATGCATCGTTCAGGAACTGGTATCGAAGTCAAGGTATCGGTATCAAAAATTTTGTTATGATACCCAGCCCTACACTTGAATGAGCGCGGATTTCTAGTGCATTTACTTCAACTTCTGAGGTAATATCTTTGGTTTAACCCATTTGAGAAATTGAGAGGCGGCCAAAATCAGATATTAAAATGGACTGAATAAAGCTCTTTACGAACTTGACGTGCGATGCCATGCTGACTGACATGTATGCGCATGAATCACTGTCACACGCACAAGCTCAGAGCAATATTGTAAGTTACTGCATGATAATACATTTTTATAGCAGAATAATAATACATCACGATACACAGTCTCACTTTTAGTTACGTCTTTTAACTATTGTAATATTTCGAAGGGCAAAACATGAACTTTAACTATTGGCTTTACTTCTTCAATCAGCTGTCACTTTAACGCGAGGCCAGTAGCATATAGCATTAGCACCTCAGCTCCACCCACGTCCCGCCTCTTTACCCATTTTAATTTATCCGGTAGTGACGAGAGGTGACGCGCTGCCAAGATGGAGACAGCCGGCCCCGCACACTTTAGGCTTCAAAAAACGCTCTTCAGAAACCTACGGGTGACGTCACGGACACTACGTCCATATTTTTTTTTACAGTCTATGGGTTAGACCTTAGGTCACGAGAGGGGGAGCTGGACGTCAAGCTCCGCCCATTGTCTCTGCAGTGAACAGCCTCTCTGTGCAGCAGTGGTTGTACAGTAGGCATATAGAGTCATTGCATTTATTTGAACCAGCCGACCATTAAGCGAGTCCAGAAATGTATATGTTGCTAAAGCCATCTTCTAAGTCAAGTATGCAGCAACATTATTCAAGTAAAAATATTTCTTTGTACTCAAACTGTGATTTCTGTAATATAGAACTACATTTTTACAGCTAATCAATCCTTACCCTGTCATTAAACCTTTAAAATGTAGCATGTCATGGGAAAAGTATTAGAAAAGCACCACATCCATTTATAAATGTACAGTATATATACCGTCATTTATTTTACCTAAACATAATTTTCATGTAATCTAATGATTTCATGTAATTTGTGTGCTTATTTCTATTCAGGAGAGTGACATATTTGATCTAAATGTGTAAATGCAAAGCATTCTGTGTACTTCATCACTTTAATCAGATTGCGTATATGTACAGTCCAAAATGTGCACACATACTTTTGATGTTTATTGTTTATAAATCCCGAGATGTGTCTTATAGATCACGCCAGTCTGGTCACCCCAAATGTATTTTGTGTTAAATGTATTACATTGTGTTACATGTCAGATTGGGATTTTCCTTTGCGTTGTAATCCTTCCACACTATTTTTTTCAATGGATTAAAAAACAAAATGGTAGGGACAAAATCGATTTTGGCAAAAAGTGGTGGTGAGTGGGAAACTATCCTAACGGCAAATTACGTCTATGTGTGTGTTTGTGTGGGAGGTCACATTCTTGTTTTGACCGATAGTGACAGAACAGGGAAGAGGAAAAAGGCTTGTTGGAAAAAAAACTGCATGACCAGTCTAAATGAGATATATCATTATATATTTCTGTATTTGTTCTAAAAACGGCAAAAAAGGTGTTTAACCAAAAAAGCGGAAATCTTTTTAAAATCAAAGCTTTTGCCTCAAAATAATAATAAGCAGTAATATTTACATACACGACTATTCAAACTTTGGGGTCAGTAAGATTTGTTTTGGCTGTAATGGCTGCGGAAAATTCAGAATTACAGGAATTTAAAATATATTTAACAAAGTTATTTTAAATTGCAATAACAATTCACAATATTAATATTTTATAATAAACACTGTTCTTGTAACTGACATTTAAATCTGTCTTAAGCTCTCATACAACAAATAAATTGACATTAATATTATTGCAAAATGTACCAAGTTATTTAATTTTATATCAGAAACATCTATCATTTTTCAATATTTAGCTAATTTTTTAATATCTTCCAACTCCAGCCAAAAACTTTCACTATAGAAAAATGTCAGGAAAAAATTGCATAGAAGCTGAACAGTAATATCTATGATGTCAGTTTTTTTCCCCAGCACTTTTTTTTTTTTCAGAAACAGAAAGGAGCACAGAAGGAGGTGGAGAAGCTCATTTGCTCCTGTCAGACTTCACACTACACCGCCGCTGGTGAAATTAGCACAGCTCTCTGACCTTTACTTAAACAAACCAAGAAACTCGCTCCTCTCCTGAGATTTAATTCATGGCGGCGTGACTGATGGGGGAAGCTGTAGGAGTATTACTGACATTCCAGAACAATGATCAAATCTGCACGACTACAACAACACTAACTGCAATTACAAGAAATCAACTAAATTCAGCACCTCTCTGAGATTTGAAAGAGCTGCTGAGATGTGTTCAGAAATGGATGATTTTTTACACTGGTGGTGTAGGTTTGCGGATGGTAGTGGAAAAAGGTTGTTGGTTTGAATCCCAGTGGGACTGATTTATTTAACCAAGACATTTAGGCACTTTAATTCACTAAGCCACTTTGTATAAAAGATTTAACTGCATTAAAAAAAAGTTAATGATACTGGACACAGACTTGTGACTTCTGCTGCTGACTTGTGTGAGCTGCTATTCAATATGATTACTAATTACATAGTGATTGGTATTATCCACGGACAGTAGCCTAAGCAACTTAGGATCTTGCTCGATATCTCAAATGCCGTGCCAATGCCACTGCACGTCAACTGACTCCCCAGTTACAGTAACACCAAAAAAAGTTGTTTCATATGGAAAATACATGTCTGAATGATATGTGGATCTGATGTGGCCCATGAAGCTTTCACAGTTACAGCACTCAAGACTCTCATACACACCACAGACTGACGTGACAACAGTGAAATACCTTTTTGCTTGTCCATCGCTGGAAATGATCAAAGCGTTCAAGTGAAATGTTCTCGGTCGCTTCCAGAGTTCATCGCTGAGTCTGTTCCTGGATGTGTAAACGAAGTCAAAGTGAATTTAAGTGCAATTTCGAAGTGAATCAAGGGAGAGTTGCGGGTTAGGCGACAGTCAAACGAAGATAACAGCAAAACTGTCGGAACAAGCGGCTACATTGTCAACATCCACTCCACATCTCTATCACTGAACTCTCCGCCTTCAGCTGTGCGTCTGAAATCCTCTAATGTACAGTAGCTCAACAGCCCCACCTACGCTCTCAATGCGGACAATAGTGGAAATTACAAAATAACCTGTATATGGTTAGCTACTAGTGAATAGTAAATGATTTACCTATGCGAGGAAGTAAATGTTAATTTCATTTATAAAGAGAAACATTAGGTTCGCTCCCAAAACTTTACGTTTCTTCACTTTAGAATCCAAACAAATCCACAGCTATGTTAAGATTACTGCCAAAAACCAGACACAAAACGATGTTAAAATCATAAGCTTTATTGAACTGAATTAATTCAAATGATCTGTTAAAATCATTAGTAAGCCACTTACAAATCAAAATAATAAAACAACAATACCATTGATAAAGTCACAACAATGTACACTCACTTTACTAAATCCATTTTATTTTTTCATTCATCACACTTTCACATAAAAAAGGAAAAGAAGAAATTCACTATTCATGAAGTAGAGAAAGATCAATGTTATGTTAATATTTGGGACATTTTTCACATGAAAATTGTCATATGCATGTAGGTCTACGTGTGGTTAAAAAGAGCTTATTTTCTCACTGTGAAAACATTCAACCTTTTAAGTGTATATGAGTGAATGCTTTAGGATGAAGTATGAGTGCTTTACTGCAAAATATTCCTAGCAAAAAGTATTTCATAAAGATGGCCTGACTTCTGAAGCCACAAATATTTTCAGACCAGAAAAACAACTTTAAACTGTCAAAAAAAAAAGAAAAAGAAAAGATTGATAAGTAGCACAATTTCATGATTATTGTGAAGTGTAAATCGGGTGTCAGATTGTGTTCACATAAAATAAGTTATCATAATACCATTGGTTTGTTAATAGGCAAAAAGCTAAGAATAGCTCTCACATATTTCTTTTTGAGTGCTTCTAAAAAACTGAATGTGGAATGTCTATTTTTGTACTTCTACATTCTCAAGTTGATATGTGTTGCTTTTTAGTGATTGTTTTGCTCTTACTACATTTCCATTCTGTAGGTACAAACTCTAGGCAAAAAGCATGCACTCTATCTAAGCACTTCATTTGGTCATTGGAGTAATAAAAGCATAGTAATTTCATGTGCTCAGAGATCGACACATAATATGTCATCAGAAGTGGGCAAGAAGAATATATGAACTACAGGGATCTGTGCCATTTAGATTTTTAGATTTGTTAACTCTTCCATATAATTATAATTAATATAGTTAATTCATTAACATAATCATGTATACTTTCTTTGTTGCAAAATCTGGACTAATAAAAAACATCTCTGCTGTGTGAATGTGTTGATTTTTAAAAAATTGCAGTTCAGTAAATTCATCTTCCTGTTTTTCCAATTTAGCATCCTGTGAGTCGTGACCAATTCAATTCAAATTCACACTCATGAACTGAAAGGGAGCCAGTTAAATACTGTAAATCAGAAAGCAAAAACCAGGGTTGTAAAATCAAACCATCAGGCAAGCAGCAACCATCAGGTGTTAACGTATGAAATCCCTTTATTTCCTAACCTATCCTTATCCAATAAAACAGGAGCACTGTAAAAAAAAGAAAAAGAAAATTCCAACCAAAAAGAACAAAAGAGGATAGAACCAAAACAGTAAAGGTGCTTTACAAGGCAATAGCAGCAAAATGGGGAAGAGGGAGCGAAAAAGATGTAATAATAGAGGGACCGAGTGAAACTGTTCGATCAATACATCTTGTGGAAGAGGAGAAGTATTGATCACACTCACAATTCACAATGCCTCATCATTGAAGAAAAGCAGGATACATTTGCCATGCAGGATTCATACGCTCATATCCAATATTTAGTAAACTCTCACTAATGTACAGTAGCTCTCTTTGGAACAGCAAACTTTCACTCTGTATCATCCGCTGTTGCCATGGGAATTGTTGCTATATGTGTGTATCGTACCGCTGGTATTTGCACTGGTATTAAGGTATTATATTGTTTGTGTTAAGGTGTAAAAAATGAGGGTGTGCAATATGTGCATCTCTAGTCCCTAGTATAAATTGTACTAATTTCCGAACTATCAACAATAGCTGCTTTGCTTAATTCAAATATCCAGACACTTTAAAAAAATATGGGTCAATGACAAATAAGACTATAAAGTATAATAAATGGTAAGGTAAATGGTTTTATGGTTGATACGTGGTTTTTATATGTGGCTTTTAAAAATGACTAAAAAATGATTGACTAAAAAATTTCATATTTCTTACAAATACTATGAATTAATTATAGAAATATCATGATTTATTCATTCATAAATATAATGACGATTTTGGGAAGTCGCACCACATGACATTTTACAACCATACTAACTGAACTAACCTTACCGCATCATACAAAGGTCAAATTATTTAAAATTTTAAGAACCTTATCAACCTCTATAATATCATTTCCTGTTTTATGTTTTTTCTGCATGGTGGTTGTACTTTAATTTAGCAGACAAAACTTTTTTAAATATTGATAAACAGTAAAGCAGTTTTTTTTTAAATATTGGATATCTTTCTAATAAATAATAATAAAAGATTATGCAAACCTACTTCAGGTTTTCATGTTTAGTATTTCATTCTTTTCATTTGACTTCATTATATCGGTACAGTCGTATCACCCTGACATTTTTACTGTATGCTCCCCAAAAAACATGCTCATCATAGAAGAGGAGTATTGAAGTCACTGCATGTATGAATCACATTTTTTAATGTATTTTAATAAATGAATACATTTGGGGGGCAAAATGAGCGTTATGTCACTGACCCATATTCTGAAGGCTTGGTAATTCATACTTAGCACATAAAGGCTGAAAAGTGTGGCAGTGACTTTATAGTGAATGAAACTCACAGGTTCCTGCTGGTCCATCTGAACTTCTGAATTTGGTCTACTCAAATAACTAGTGCGATTCATATCGGCTTCATGTGTACTGCTAGCTTTCATGTCTGTGTGTATCATTTCAGCTTTATAAAGCACACAGAGAGGAACCTCAGTGAAGTCCTGACAGTAGCTGCAACTAGAAAAAGAGGCAACATCAATGACTCAGACATGATTGTTAGCTGCAATCAGATATGGGGCTTATCAAACGATAAGGATAACTGATTTTTTTTTTTTTTTGCTGGCTCCATAATCACATTCCTTATATCACATTCCTCATCTTTCCTTAACTTACATCGCTTGTACTGTTTTCACAAGTGGAAGTGCAGATGTGTGACAGTGTTTGTAAAAGAACGCATTTCTCTACTATTAGAAGAGAGAGACTTTCTTTTTCAGGTCGTTCCTCTTCCAAAGGGAGAGCCGGTCAAATTCCTCAATGGACATTCCAAAGACATTCCGGAATTCCTCAGTTGACAGGTGCCTCTGGAGAGAGAGGTTCAATGGTCAACCTTTGTTCCCAACAGAACTGTTAAATAATGAGCAAAAACAATGTTTACCTCCAGTCTTGTCCTGTCTACACCAGGTGGGAGTTTGTTTCTGCCTCTGTGGGTCACAATGAGCATCTCATGTGGGTAAATCTGCCAAACGAACACATAGATAGTGCAAACACATAATTAATGAACTTTGACCATGAGCAAGCAGTCACTTAGCAACAATACGTACAAGAGCTCTGATGAATCCCAAACACTCTTGATTAGTTGGCATTTTTACCTTTTGTTCCAGCATAATAGGGAGTGAATTCCCTCTGTCTATCCTTCTGCTTTGGGCATCTCCATTCTATAAAAGAGAGAAGACCACTGTAAGCCTATCATAACCACAACTGTGATTTGTGCAATTATTACAAAAATCTGATTGTAAAAAAAAAAAAAAAAAAAAAAAATTCTTCTGAGACTGAAGGTTGCAAAGCTTGACTACCAAGATCTTTAAAAATATCAGAAATGCTGATAATGCTATTGGCAATTTACAATGAACAGCTTGTTTTGCAGTTTTCCTTATTTCAAGCTGGTTTAAAAAAAGTGTCTGCTAAATGAACTAACTTAACCTGTAATTTAGTCTGTTTTAGCTGTTAAGAATATACATTTATTTGGTTACACTTTATTTTAATGCAAATTGTTACACACCTGGAAATCTGTAAAGAGAGAGAGAGAGAGAGAGAGAGAGAGAGAGAGAGAGAGATTATAATACAATGAGCAAGAGGTATAAAAACATGACAACGATCTCTCCTATTCAATTCATTTTTATTTCTATTTCTTTTTAAAAAGTTGAGAATAGATTACAACAAAGCAGAATAGAATACAATAGGATAGAATCGAATAATGACTCCATGCACTCTAATTAAAGTGTAAATAAACATGATAAAAATTACTTTACTATTTAAAACAGAATAAAATGATGACTCTTAATATAATATATTGTATAAATTATAATATTAAAATAATAATATATAATAAAATAAATAAATAATAATAAAATATATAGAAACCAGTGCTCGTAATACTCGGAAAATGCCCTGCTATTTAGAATAGAAGAGAAATTTAAGTCTAAATTCTGGCACTCTAAATTTCTCAACGATTTATAATATAATATAATATAATATAATATAATATAATATAATATAATATAATATAATATAATATAATATAATATGATATAATATAATATAATAGAATTATGCCTCTTGATACTGAAACTCTGATTGAAGAGTAAATAAACATGACAAAAAAGACAAAATTTACTCTTACAAAAGAATAGAATAGAAATATCGTAATGCCAAAACTTACTTAGACTCCCTTTATCACTGTTTGAAGAGGAGAATTCAGCAGACTGCAGCTGTAACACATAAACACAAGACAATTATATCAGTGTAATTAAGGATGGCTCCTTAATGGTAATTAATTAAAGCTGACATATCAAATCAGATTTTATTTTCTCACCCTAGTAAGCCCAGTCTTAGTGTTGGAAGGAAATGAGGGGGATTTGGAGGCTGTGTAAAAGAAAAGAAACATGTTAATGCACTGGCACAAATAGCATCCAAATACTCATCATATAAAAAGTATTGGATGCAGTACATTTCTTCAACCAGAAGAGGTCACTACAAGGTCAACCTTTTAACTGGAATCACAACCATTTTCAGTGACAGAATTCAGAGTGTAATGCAATAATGAAATTGTTCGAAAAGAGTTCTCTAGACTCTGACCTTTCCCATAGAGACCTATAAACTCTAATCTGATTCAAATCATTGGTTTGTCATCCATAAGCTCTGACTGCAGGTGGAAAGACTGACTCAGATGTCCTCTAGAATAGACACAACAGCTGCTGTTAATAATGCTGCTTATCTCTACGTATCATTGCTCTGTTCTTCCTTAATATCCCCGCAAGGACAAGGATTTCAGATATTGCCTATCTTTGTGGAGACATTTTGTCCCTATAAAGATAGGGAAATAAGGACCCCACACACATACACACACATTCAAATATACCCAGATGCATGGGTGTCCTGTCGGGCAGGGACCGCGTTTTCCTGTGGACAGGGGCCGATCTCTCGATCTCCTCCTTTAGTATCAATTTTCCTAGATTAGACTGAATCTGTGACAAAGAGAGAGAGTGAGAGATGAAGAGGGAGTTTGGGGGGTGAGATGGAAACTGAAACAATATACTCAGGCTGAGAGACTGAATTGATCAGCATGGCTCTCTGTTTCGACAGGAAAGGCAAGAATCCCTAAAGATTTGTCCTTCATTTGAAACCAACTATGGCTTTTACTTGAAGGTCGACTGAGACAAAAGATCTTACAAATAAGAACCAACCCAATAATCTTTTAGCCTCAGTTTCTAAAGAAAATAAGGTTTAAGAAGAACTGTTAATACAGGAAAGAAAGTTAAAATTTAAATGAGTGTATAAGGTGTGTATTTTAGGTAGTGTGGCTGGTCACTATTCATTTTAAAGATTCTCTCAATTTTGAATTACGTTTTTGATGAGTTTGTAGTGTGAGATATTTTTTAAAATATACAAATAGGACATAAAGACTGCATGTACGATACTACCTTTCAAACTTTTGGGGTCGGTAAGACTTTTTAATATTTTTAATTCTCTTATGCTCAGTATACTCTTATGCTCAGTATAAACAGCAATGTGATAAAATATTATTACAATTTAAATAAAATGATTTTTACTTTAATACAATTAAAAATGTAATGTATTCCTGTGATGGCAAAGCTGAATTTTCAGCAGTCTTCAGTGTCACACGGTCCTTCAGAAATGATTCTAATACACTAACTTCTTATTATTCTCAATGTTGAAAACTGTTGTGCTACTTTATGTTTTTGTGGAAAATCAAAATCAGGATTCTTTGATAAAATGGAAAGTTAAAAAGAACAGCATTTATTTTAAATAGATTTTCTATGAAACCTTAAAAATGTCTTTATTGTCATCTTTGTTGACTTTTTTGTTTCGCTGATTTAAATTGAATTGTTTTAGTTGATTTAATGCAAACTTGCGGAACAAAAGTATATATTTATGAAAAATAAAATAAGAAAAGAATTAGAAAAAAGCCATTTAAAATAGTTTAACTGTAAAACTGCAGGACTAAAAAAGTAAATAAAAAAATAATAAAAAAAGAACAGACACTGTATTTCTTTGAATAAGAAAATTTGACAAGATAATTTTACACCTTGTTAAGCTCTTGCTTCTGCATTTTCCGAAGTCTCCACATGTCTTCAGACAGATCATTGTCATCATACTTATCATCCTCCTCACCCTCCTCTCCCTCAGCTGTCTTGGATGCTATATTCTTTCTCCGCTCTGTCTCTGTTGCACAAACACAAGAATATGGGATGAAGAGTGTAAGAACGAGTAGATGAACGAATACTACCACCACGTCATAAAACTGTCCCGACACCAAATACTACTTACATTTGCATGTACTGTTAGTGTTCTAAAATATCAATATGTAGACAGAAGGCATTTTGATCATTTAGAGGCCGTAGAAATTTGCGTATCAAATATAATACAGTAAGCTTTATAGGGCTAACTGAACTGCAGTTGGTGTTTCTCCTACAATTCCTTAAGAGAACCAAAAAAAAATGAGATAGCGTGAGAGTGTATTACCTATAACAGCTAGTGAGGGTGGACAGGGCCAGTATTCTGTCTCTATCTTAGAGGGCTGGTTGGGGTCTGGAGGCTGGGCGGCAGGAAACTTCGATGACTCGATGATTAAATCCTCCATGTGTTTAGAGTGCGGAACAGCTGATGAGACATCTACATCCATTCAAATACACATACATATACTCAATATGCTCAAGAAAATCATTTACAGTGAATCTGACATAAGAGCAGAACTGATATTTCATACCTTGTTTATATATAGGCGGCTTCTTGAACATGTTGCTTCCGTTGTCTGGAGGGAAAAATGATGGTGGATTAGTTGTAGTGTGTGATGTTCCCTGAGGTTTCATTGCTGTGTTTGTGAGGGGCTGTAGTACCGAACCTGGCCTGTGGAAGTGCTGTTGCTGATGTGGGACTTTTGTGCTGACGGTGATGCTTTTACTCAGCTGTGTTGAGGCAGGAGAGGAGCTGCCCGATGACTTCGGCTCTGACCAATCCCGCACGTCCTTTGATAGACTGTTCTACAATTACACGTAGAAGGACGGTGTGATTAAGAATCATGCAGACAGATTCTAAAGCAGATCATAAAATAGTTTGATCTTTGAACAAATATCTGCTGCAATGGTGGTTTATTGCTTCAATATTGAGTTTTTAAAAAGAACAAATCTGATGTTATCAACAGTGTTCTTCTTTCAAAAACTTTATTTCATTTCATATTTTGTTTGATTTATATGTGTGGTATACGTATTTAGCAACACCTTGAGCATATTCGAATTTGTCAAGGTAATAAAAAATACAATTATTAAAAATGTAACTTCTATTGAATCTACATGCCAAGTGGTGACAGTGGTGTCTTGCGGGCTGAATTCCAACTAAAGCTATTTAAAACAGCATTTTTCTAATTCTTGAATAATTATTATATACAGTATACACATAAACTCACATTAATTGAGATACTTTTAAAAATGTACAAATTAATTTGTCACAAAATTATTATAAGACTATTTAAATGAATCAATTAAGTTCTACATTTACACAATCATTCAAATATTTGGGGCAATATTAATATTAATATTTTTATATTTTTAAAATAAATCAATACTTTTATTCAGAAAGGACACTAAATTGATCAAAAGTGTCAGTAAAGACATTTAAATAATTAAAAGATTTCTTCAAATAAATGCTATTTTTATTACTTTCTATTTATCAAATAATCCTGAAAAAAGTGTTACCATTTCCACAAAAATATTAAACAGCAGAAACTTTTTTCATCAGAATATTAGAATGATTTCATGTGGCACTGAAGACTGGATTAATGGCTGCTGAAAATTCAGCTTTGCCATCACAGGAATAAATAACATTTTAAATATATTAAAAAGGGAAGTTTTTTTTAAATTGTAATACTATTTCATAATATTACTGTTATTACTGTATTTCTGATTAAATAAATGCAGCCTTGGTGAGCATAAGAGACTTCTTTCAAAACCATTTAAAAATCTCATCGACTCCAAACTTTTGAACAGTAGTGTACATAATTTGTAACCTAAATGTCTATGTTATTTGTGAATCACCCTGTTTTTATTACACAACAATTCTAATCTGATTGGACAAGCCTCATAACAAGAGTGCTGCTAAAATATAAACAGCATATAAACATGCCATTCAGTTGACAGATATTAGGCTGCATATGACTTATTTGTGATTTTAACCTCACACACAGACATGTACTACACAACTTACCTCTGGAGATGGAGGAGGGGAGATAGAGCGAGGAGATAATGACCTCTAGAGAGAGAAAAAAGAGAGAGAGAGAGAGGTCAGTTGTTGGCAGTAAGTGAGATATCTAGGCATTTCCACAGACAGGTTTACAGAGTTAATGAAGCGTAAAGCTTCCATCACAGGGAAACAAAAAGGAAATTACTGTGGGAGAGCCGAACTAACATGACGTGTGTGTGTGTGTGTGTGTGTGTGTGTGTGTGTGTGTGTGTGTGTGTGTGTACTGATCTCTGTCCAGGCACTCTGATGGGGAGACACCACATTCATCAGGAAACTAACCAGTAAACACATCACACATGCTGACAGACAGACATGTAAGGTGTGCCAAGAAAATCCCAGTAGATCAGCAGTTTCTAAAATACTCAGACCAGCCCGTCTGCCACCAACAACCATGCCACATTCAAAGTCACTTAAATCACCTTTCTTCCCCATTCTGATACTCTGATGCTTTAGCAGATCGTCTTGAACATGTCTACATGCCTAAATGCATTGAGTTGCTGTCATGTAGATTAGATTAGATATTTGCGTTATTGAACAGGTATATATATACATACCTCTGAGCGATCCATTGGTGAATAGCTGAAGTGGGGCTCATACATCATCAGGTCAGGCCTCTCAATGTCTAGAATGGCCTTGTCTTTAGGTATAGCTGCTAGATCCTTATACCCAATCACTTGATTGTCCATTTTGGCCTGTTGAAATCCAAAATATGAAAGGAATTGGGGAAATTATTGGCAACCTCATAGACATTAGGTACAGTATATCTCAATCAGCTCCCTAGCTCCCTAGGTGAATCATATTGTGAACAAGAATTAGGCACTGGTAAGGACAGTAAGAAACTTGGGTCACTGATGATGACAGGACAACATCCTTATTGTATAACGTTTCTACTAGAACTTATGAATGAATAGCAGAACTGATATTTTTCTGACAATTTTTAAAAAAAATGTTATTTAAAGTACATTAGGATAAATACTTTGATTGTTACATTTTCCAACATTTCAGCCGTAAATTAATTTGAAATGTTAGCTATATTATGTTGAGTACCTGAATAGCAATGTATGTTTGCTGAAATATAATTAAATAATGGTTTGTTTTTTCAAAACATCTATTGCATGTCATTATGTGTTGTAAGATGGCTCGCATGATATTTGTTTCGTGCCGAGTGAAATTAATGTACTATATTTTAGTTTGATGTTTAAAAAAAAAATATATATATATATATATATATATATTGTATTTTTAGGGACTTTTATGGTACTACATTTTTAAATATTTAATTAAATATTTATGCTGTAGTTCCATTCCATCTATTTATCACCTGTAAACTATTTTCTGAGCATAGACCTAAAATTTAAATTAAACTTAAACTCATAAATATTGAATGCTTTGAGAAACAGACTTAAGTTTGGTCTCTTTTTAAGACACTTGGCAGATTATTGCTGATGTCAGAGTTGTTTAGTTTTATTGTGTTTTGGTTTCGTTTTTCCTGTACCCGTTTTGCCTGTGTTCCCAGTCAATGTTAGGCCCTGTCCCAATACCCGCACTTGCGCCCTTGTGCCCCTCAATGCGCGTTCTCGCTAAGGGGTGCAAGACCGTAGGGTGTCCCGATCCTCTAATAGTGTTCTCCAGGGGTGATCATAAGGGCACTTAATGCACCCCTTTCGCAAGTGCGCATCAGACCTCACTTTGCTGTGGGATATTACCCAGAATCCTTGTAGTGTTGTGACGTTTCGAACAGCTAACCAATGGGGGAGAATGGTTGCTATGGTGCTGTTCGGGAGCGGAAACTCCGAAGATAAAGGAAGCCGGTATGGTGAAGTGTTTTTCAAGGCCGCGAAATTTAAAAATATTAGTGTTATCGTGTCACGAAATGTAGTTTTAAGAGTTTTTCAGTCGAGAATATAGTTGTTTAAAGCTCAAATCTGTGGTTTGTTTATAAAGATAGCGCCTATTTAAAATTTTGATCTGACTTTTTCGGAGTTCCAGGGATCAGCGGGCGCACAGCGCTCATGTACCCCGCCTGGAACAGCCTTAACTCGGCTAGTCATTCTGACGTTTCCCGCGGGCTCTGTGTCTAGTGGTTAAACATGAGCTATAAATCGGCTTGTGTATATCTAACGGGCGATCTTTGGTCTCATTAATCTATGATTTGTTCCCTGGCAAATCGTTTTGGCTGAGGGCAAAGTGAAGTTTCATAACTTTATATATTTATGCTATTTAACTTTAACGTTGTAACGTTAGCCTGTTGACTTATGTTTGACTGAATCTTTTAACTTGCTTTATTTCTTGACTTATATAGCTTCTTATACTTTTTAGGCTACTTATAATTTAATAATGGCTATTATTGATCAATAAAACTGAAATTTAACAAAAAGAGACAGGGTTGTGTCATTTTATTTCATATAGCCTATGTAAGACTTTTAATATAGCCTTAGCCTATATATAATATATCACCAACACGTCATGTATTTTTTCATGTATGGGATGGGAAGAATTTCATATATCAATTTCCATAATAACATAATTAAAATTGCATTTCGAATCGCTGTGAATACGGTAAGGCAGTATAAGCTCAGGTAAACCCCAATCACAATTTATCTTAGCCAAAAACTGTTTTAATATTAATAACATTAACAGAAAGGTTGGTAGCTAAGAGTAAAAAAAAGATTATTTTTTTCATTCAAAGGATTGTGTCATGTTACAGCTATTATAAGCAGCACACACATTAGCCAAATGAATGGTGTTTGCTCTCCTGATCACAACAGAAGTGACGTGTGCAAAACTGTCCCAATTCTGCTCTTCACAGCTTTGGGCCCTTGCGCACTTACTCCGCTAAGTGCACTTTCAACAAGTGTCCACTTCCAGGAAGGCCTTAGGGCTCAAGTGAGAATTGGGACTGGGCCTTAGTTTCCTGGTTGTTAATTAGGATACACACCTGTTCCCTGTTCTGTTGATTATCCTCCCTTATGTATTTAAACCCCCAGTTCTCCCAATTCTTTGTGCGCTCTTGTTGTTAAAGTTAATTTTTTTCTGTGTTTTTGAGTATTGCAGTTAAAGTCTGTTTATGCTTAAAGGGTTAGTTCACCCAAAAATGAAAATTCTGTCAGTAATTACTCACCCTCATGTTGTTCCAACCCCGTAAGATTTTCGTTCATCTTTGGAACACAAATTAAGATATTTTTGATGAAATCTGAGAGCTAATTTAATTATCTGTCATCTGACATTTTCCAAAACATGTTTTACGCTAAAACTGAGAAAATAAAAGCCATAAATCTAAACAAGCTGTGTTCCAAATTTGAGGTTGATATAGCAAAAAAAAAAGAGCTTCAGTAAGATTTTGTTTGGCACCGTATCAAACGTTTAGTACCAAACTAGATTTGGTTTTCCATAGATTTTCAATGCGGCCATTTTTGACTGTGAGGACTACAAGTGAGACTATTTTTTTGTAGGACCATTTAAAGGAGAACTCCGGCGCAAAATGAACCTTTGGTCTAATTACACATTGTTACCTAGTCAACCGTTATCTGAGATTTGTTTTCATGATTATCGAATGTAAATAGTTTTATCTCTAAAAACAGTTTAGCCTATAAAGCTAGTATAACTTTGAAATACAGCCTTTACCAGTCGATCTACGAACGCCGATCCAAGCCTGCTGTTCGCGCTCACCTTATCATTCTCACCAGCGCACTTGGATCGGCGTTCGTAGATCGACTGGTAAAGGCTGTATTTCAAAGATGGCTTCTGCCTGTATACACGAAGTTGACTGTATGTTTAAAATATCTTCTTATTAAACTGTCTGTACACTTACAAAGTTCTCAATGCTTCGGTTTGAAGGTAGGGACCCTCATTATGCTACCGTGTTAGTGTGGGTCTATTTTCAGCCTTGTTAGTGGTATTAACAAGCAATTTTTATTTGTCATTACACTATGCCCAATATACTAGCGTTATACTAGCTTTATAGGCTAAACTGTTTTTAGAGATATAAAACTATTTACATTCGATAATCATGAAAACAAATCTCAGATAACGGTTGACTAGGTAACAATGTGTAATTAGACCAAAGGTTCATTTTGCGCCGGAGTTCTCCTTTAATGTACATCATGTACATGATTTTTTTTCTGTTCACACAGCAGTGCCAAAACCTTTTACAAGTTTCGTACTATTCCAATGAAGTAAAAAAACTAAATGTAAAAGTTTTCGGTCAAAAATGACTGAAGAGCACCAGAGAGTTAAAATGGCCGACTCCCTGATCAGTGCCCTGACTACTGAACTAAGGAGCTGATTGAGATGCACCCATAAACATACTATGAAAATCTATCTTTTGCTTTGAAAGAACTTCATTAGTTGTTGCACCTAGTTATGTGTGGGCCTTGTTATGTTTATTCTTACAGTAGGCCTATGCAGTAACATCTGGAAAGCGTGCAGAGAATTATATCTCAGCATGCACTACTATACATACCACTATAGTGACTGCTGGGGTTCCAGGACCACCTCCTGCACGTAGAGAACAAACAGTGCCCGGGGAGGTACTGGCCGATTGCTGTTCACATACACACAGGTCAAAGGTCAAACATTTCATTAATCTTTTTATTTGTTTTATAATTATCAATTATCTTATTTTATTATGAACAAATAGGAAATCTACATAAAACCAAATCTGATATAAAACCGTTTGCTTTTAATCACCTTATGCAGCATCATTTTGAAAGAGAAAGCGCTCCCTTTATGAGGTCACTGTGGAAAGAGAAGAAATTGTGGATGAGAACAAGGCTTTAGATGGATGTCAATGGCCTCTAAAAGACTCAAAGCAGATGTACGCCAAGTTAGATTATGTGTATAATGCTTTTCACAATACACATTGTTTCAAAACAGCTTTACAGAAAATGATTCTGTTAATATTTATAATATCTTAATATCTTTACATTTTAATATGGTTTACATTTTGTGATGATACAAGAAATCAAACAGTTATGCAAGCATACTGTATGTATGCAGATATATAATGTAAGTATATCTGACTTTATATATAGAGATAATAGTTTACATTTTGTGATTATATCACTTAGCCGAGATTTGTGTGACCAGGATTGATTTACAGATGCTTTCCAACATCACCTTCACCAACTTTAAGTCAAAAGAACCTAGTAGTTTGCAGAAAGTTGCTAATACACACAAAGTACAGAAAAGTCAGCAGTGTAAGGACCTTAAAACCTTCTGCAGTCAAAAGACTATGAGCACAATGACAGTGTTTCTCTGGGCTTTTCTGATGGATCGCAATACAAAAGCTTTATTCTAGCACCCTGTGAGTCTTTTGTATTCTACTGAAAAGAACACATTTCTTAAAACCCTGCAGCATGCCTGTACAATAAAACACTGCTAAAAAATAAAGGAAGCAACTGGATGGTTCATATCAGAAATACAGATAAATATGCTCATGGAGATCTTGTCGAGCCATCTTAATGGTTCCCAAAATGGAGCCAGCCAGACCCTGTCAGTGTGATGGTTTTTAAGATGGACAGAGGTCTGAATGGATTTCTGAGGCTAATGTATTCAATTAAGAGCTCAGTGAGCGATCTTGGCTGTATGGTGGGTTTTAGGTTAGGTCTGTTCTGGATTTGACAAAGAAAAAAAAACAATGCATAGTCAAGGAAACCAATAGGAAAGAAATATCACAAATAATATCTCTTTTGTATCACAATTGATTCTCCATATATTCAACAATGTCTCAGACTGATATGTCATTTTCTTGTTACTTGTAACTATGCCATTTCTGAATATCTTTAAGCTGTTTTCCTCAGCAAGGCATATGTATATCAAACTAATTAATGTCATAAACTAACCAATTATCAGGAAATTCGTTCTTAATGCATACAGTCAATTTCATTTTAGGGTAAAAAACAAACAAACAAAATGCTTTAAAAAGCTCTAAATATTTACATATTACAGCACTGCTAAAAAGTCTAAATATCTTACGTAACTTTCCTTCTCATGTAAATGTATGTAGTTCTACAGATCTGAGATATTTTCACTTGAAAACAACCCAAAAATACTTATCAAGAAAATTGTTGCACATTTATCCTTACTATTTCAACACTATCTAAATTAATTTTAGGACAAGGAAACCTGAGACAAAATAATACTTAAATAAAACAATGGTGAACTTCAATGGTCAGTTCATTCTTAGAAGGGAGGGGTTACAATGTGAACATAGGTGGACATCAATGACATGCGGAGTCCCACAAGGCTCAATTCTTGCACCACTCATGTTCAGCTGTCCCACTGCCAAATTGCTTACCACAGTTATGAAGATCAGACACCCAGATCTACTTAGCTCTATCGCCTAATGACTAATGAAATGAACAGCTGGATGTGCCAAACCTTTCTTCAGTTAAACAAAGACAAAACTGAAGTCATTGCATTTGGAGAGAAAGATACCTTGACACAATGGGGTCAAAAAAACAAAACATCAAGTCAGGAATCTTGGTGTGATTTTGGAGTCGACCCTTATTTTCAGTAGTCATGTCAAAGCAATAAAAAAATCCCCATACTATCATCTCAAATACAGTTCAGGAATTATAAGTTTTGTTTCCAGTCAACACTTACAGAAATTAATTCATGCTTTTATCCCCAGAAGGGTGGAGTATTTTAATGGACTCCTCACTGGCCTTCCCAAAAAGACCATAAGACAGCTGAAGCTCATACGCTGCTGTCAGGATTCTGAGCATGTAGAACCAGAAAATATGAACATGTGTCCTTCTAATAAAAAACAAAATGGCGGCGTGCAGCAGTTCAGCTACCGGCAATTGGCGTAACGTTACTTACTAAATTAGGTATAGTGAGGTACAGTTTGACTGAACTTCTTCAACTTGGTGTTCCCAGCATGGTGGTTAAACCAGAGTTAAAAGCAATGTTGGGCAGAATGCGGCTCTTGAGGACAGCGGTCTGGAGGAGCAGGTCATACCAGCTGAGGGGAAAGCGGAAGCGGTGTGCACGGATGCAGAAGAGAGGTAAGCGGACTGGCTTGCTAGCTAGGCTAAAGGTTAAAGAACCAAGGGTTCACTCAAAGCACGGCGAGTCCACTTTATAGTTATTACTGTGTGCCTCCCATAGCTGGAATCAGCTTCCAGAGATCAGATGTGCTTCAACAGTAGTCACATTCAATTCAGACTCAGACTTATTGCACTTTATTTTATCCTTTTTTTTATTCTTTTGATTCTAACTGTTTTAATACATTTTAAATTAAGGTTTAATCAATGTGTTCTCCTGTAATTGTTGTGATTATTTTATGATTCTTAAAAAAATATTTTTTATGTAAAGCACTTTGAATTACTACTGTGTATGAAATGTGCTACATAAATAAACTTGCCTTGCCCTCAATAAAACAAACCTTAACTCCATTAGGGTCTTCAAAACCATGTTTACTTTGGAAAGGGAGCAAGAAAACAAGGAGATACAGATTCAGAAGTGTACAAGGAGAAAAAAAAGTAGCGGTCAGGGGTGGCAGAGAAGGGGGGAGGGCAGATAAATAGAAAGGATAGAGACGATGGATAAAGAGAGATGGACGGTTGGGGGAGGGATGTGATGGAGATAGAGAGAGATGATAAAACACATTACATCCCTGCCGTCAGCACAGACGGATAGCGTGACAGACGACTGTGCCTCCCTTCCCCCATTTAACCAGGAACTATGTCAAGTGTAAGCTACAAATCCTGTCAGCTGTCTTAAAATGAGTAAAGTCAGGGTTAGCACTGAGACTGAGGATTAGCGTGAGGAACTAAAAGTCCAGAAAATTACAGGAAAAACATATTTACAGCCCACTCAAATTTTATTTTTTTGCTTCATTAAAATTAGCTAATATGACACAAAGATTATTGTGTGCAATCAGTTTCTATTTGCAAAATTCATTTTAAGGGATAGTTAATCCCAAAAATGAAAATTCTGCCACCATTTACACCCTCATGAACTTTTTTTTTTTTTTTTTTAATGCTTTTTTAGATGTGATGAATAGAACAGTGACATCTTACCTCAGGGGGTGAAAAGGTTCATGACACACATTTACAGGGTCTCCTCGCCCAAGACCATTCCTGAAACACCCAAATACAGGATTTCATTACTCATCATGACATGACAGTTGAACATCAAGTAAATAGTACTGTTCAGTGCAAAGAATTCAGAGTACTTTACAAATGCATTTGAAATATATTTTTCAGCATGATAAAGCTGCTTATTCTAGTAGTCCATAAAAAAAAAGCGAGGTAAACATTCTGTGACAGCCAATAAATGTGACGGAGAATGACAGTGCTCTCTAAAGTGCTTCCTCTTCAAGCAGTGTCTCTGAGTTATTGATCTACAGGCTGAGCTTCTGAATTCACAAAAGTCAAAATCACTCAATTATTCATGCCTCAATGAACTCTGGCCTTGAACTGGAATGTGGATCTCCCAAAAAGAAAAATATGTAGCTCATATTTAATTCAGACCACTAAATAATAATAATAATACATTTTATTTATAATGTGCTTTTCTTATACCCAAAGCACTACAAGAAGTACAGTACAAAAGTGCATCCGTAAAAGAAAATCCAATTCAAAGAAAATCGTGGTACATTCATAATTTAATTTCCAGCAAACAGTCAGAAAGTGTTGTCGAGATACCTGTAATATTAGTTCCCTTTCGTTGTCACTCCGAGTTCCGTCGGATGACGACGAATGGGGTTTCGCTTAGAAAGCCTATCGACTTCGAGTATACAAAACGAGCCAATGGCAAACAAATGCCATGGGTCTGCGGAATTTGCATGGCGCAACTCCGCCCCACCTCGTGGGGATAAAAGGAGAAAGCCGGCAATATGCAGATATGTTTTTGCTTCGGAGCCAAGATGTTCTCTTCACTCCTGCAGTCTATTCTCTGACTATCTTCGAGAATCTTCAAGACGAGCAGCTTCCAGTCGGTGTTGGTGTGATGGCGTGTTCCAGCGAGTTTCACATTCCTGCCTGCTGATCTGAACAGCTGTGTGCTTCTCCCTGGGCGCTTCAGCACTGCTGCAAGCTTTTCTCACACAAAAAGAGCGTGCACGCGGCGCGTCTTTTTAAAGACGATCTGCCCGTGCATTTCTGAGTGCGGTAGTCTGATAGATTCAGCTGATGGGCACGAGCGCTGTTTTGACGTGTTTGGGCTTCGATCACGTTCGAACAGCGCTCGCGGATGCGTCACGTTCTCTAAAGGGAACATGACCATCGCAATGTAACGGTCAAGACTCAATGAGCTCAACTGAGTGAGAGTCCCCTCATCCACACCCCGATCTATTTTCTCCACGTGAGAGAATACTTTGGCTGGTGGCCAGGGTGACCTGAGATGGCCGGTGTGGAACTAAACCGCCGATTAATATCCGTGGTCCACACCCCTCTCTTTAACATTGCAACCCGCGCGGTTCTGAATGAGTTAGCTGGTCAGAGCCGCGTCCAGAGGACGCCGGCGGGCCGGCATCTCATTCAGTTCCCCGGCTGATGAAATCATGTCTATCGCCGCGTCACAAGGTGAGCTGGAGTCCTTTGGAAGTGAGGGCTCGTCTATGTTGCCACTCTCGGGTGTGCAACATAGCGAGTCTGATCCAGAGTTGACAGCTATGCTTCCCGGGCCGCCGCGAGTATCGGGCATGTGTGGATTACTCTGCCATGTCTCGAGCACTCAAGGCTGATGATTGGTTTTGGGGAGGCGAACCCAAAATCCTTTCTACCCGGATGTGCATGAAGAGGTTATGAGATCGTGAGAGTCTCCTTTGACTTTCGCGACTGCTCAGCAGCCTCTTCCACCTTCTCTGCCCTCGAGAGGCCGCGGCCATGGGTACACTGGGGTTCCCCCCGTGGAGTGTTCTGTGGCAGCACGTCTGTGCCCCCACAGCGCCTCCACCTGGCGTGGCGACCCTAAGCACCCCTCCAATGCCTGTAGGTATTTTGTCTACTCCGGTGGCAAAGACCTATAGAGCAGCGGACAGGCTGCCGTCTCACTGCATGTTATTGCCATCCTTCGGGGTGCTCAATGACATGCACGAGGGTAGGGCTGATTCAGGGCTCATCTAAGAGACTGCCTGCCGCCACCGACCTCGCTCTACGAGTGACGAAGGTGACCGCACGCTCCCTGGGTCAGGTGATGTCCACTGGGTTAACCTGGTTGATATGCGCGAGGCTGAGCGAACCCGCTTCCTCAACTCCCCCATATCCCAGGCTGGCCCTTCGGCGGCGCGGCCGAGGACTCTGCCCAACAGTTCTCGGCCGCCCAGAAGCAGACTGAGGCTACCAAACACGTTCTGACCCCGCGGCCAGCTGCTGCCGCCGGCTCAGACGCCTCAGTCAGCTTGCCGCCGAACGCGCCCTCCTGCGACTTTTGCCCCCTCCCGCCCGGCCCCAGCAGCTCCGGGCCGCGCCGTGGAGGTGGTCGCAGGAAAGCGCCCCAGCCCGTACCAGCCCCGCAGCCTGCCAAATGCCGGGCAAAGCGGCGCTCCCGTTACGGGCAGCTCAGAGATGGGTTGCAGTTCTCCAGGAGGTGGTTGCAGGGCCACTCCTTTCCCCGGTGGAGGGCCGGGGGAGAACCTCTTTTTCCAGAGAGCTGACTTCCCATCTCTAAGCACACAGAGTTCTCGGACGACACGGTGCGCCGCCCCCGGGCCGTGCACCCCTCGTCCTCCTCTGTCCCAGAGCCGGATGACAGTGCGCGCCGTCCCCGGACCGTGCCGCTCTCATCCTCCTCTGTCGCCAGACCCCTGGCAGAGTAGACCCCCGTGGAACGTTCGTCCTTCCCTGGTCTCCTCTGTCAGGACGCGGTCTATGACTGTACCCCCCACACCAGGCAGCTATGCCGTCCACGTCTGGGTCAGCCATACCGCCTCGCTGCTCCACCGACGGGAAGTCTGTGGTTTGCGTGACCCCGCTGGTACAGTCCTTGGGAGCCTGGCTAGAGCTTCCCAACCTGTCCCGCTGGGTCGCACGATCGATCAGGCTCGGCTACGCGATTCAGTTCGCGCGGTCTCCTCCCCGCTTCAGGGGAGTCCGCTCCACTATGGTCGGTGGCAATGCCCCTATCATGAGAGCGGAGGTTGCTACCCTGCTGGCGAAGGGTGCGATCGAGACTGTCCCTCCAGCCGAAATGAGGACCGGCTTCTACAGTCCGTACTTCATTGTCCCGAAGAAAACCGGTGGGTTACGGCCAATCCTGGACCTGCGCGTTCTGAACCGCTCCCTTCACAGGCTGCCGTTCAAGATGCTCACCGCCAAACGCGTTTTCGAATGTGTGCGGCACCAGGATTGGTTTGCAGCGATCGACCTGAAGGACGCCTACTTTCATGTCTCCATCCTCCCTCGACACAGACCGTTCCTGCGGTTTGCTTTCGAGGGGCAGGCATATCAGTACGCAGTTCTCCCATTCGGGCTAGCCCTGTCTCCTCGCGTCTTCACGAAGGTCGTCGAGGCAGCCCTTGTTCCCCTCCGGGAACACGGGGTTCGCATTCTGAATTACCTCGACGACTGGCTAATTCTAGCTCACTCTCGAGATCAGCTTTGCGAACACAGGGACTTGGTGCTCCGCCATGTAGCCCGTCTGGGCCTTCGGGTCAACTGGGAGAAGAGCAAACTTTGCCCCTGCAGAGGATCTCTTTTCTCGATATGGAGATTGACTCGGTCGCCATGTCCGCGCAGCTTACGAGTGAGCGCCCGCAGTCACTGCTGACTTGCCTGAAACAGTTCGAGGGCAAGAGTGCGGTTCCACTGAAACTTTTTCAGAGGCTCCTGGGGCATATGGCATCTGTAGCCGCGGCAACGCCGCTCGGATTGCTTCATATGAGACCGCTTCAGCTCTGGCTTCGCGACCGAGTCCCGAGGTGGGCATGGCAACACGGCACCCTCCGAGTACCAGTTACTCCGACCTGCCATCAGACCTTCACCCCGTGGTCGAACCTCAGTTTTCTACGGGCCGGAGTGCCCCTGGAACGAGCTTCCCGGCATATTGTTGTAACGACAGATGCCTCTACCACGGGCTGGGGTGCCATGTGCAATGGACGTGCTGCCGCGGGCTCCTGGACAGGACCCCACCGCCTATGGCACGTCAATTGCTTCGAGTTGCTGGCTGTACCGCTCGCCCTGCGCCGCTTCCGAGCCGTGCTGAGGGACCAGCATGTACTAGTCCGTTCAGACAATACCGCGACCGTAGCGTACATCATCCGTCAAGGTGGTCTGCGCTCCCGCCGTATGTCGCAACTCGCCCGCCACCTCCTCTTATGGAGTCAGAAGCATCTGAGGTCGCTTCGTGCCATTTATATCCCCGGAGCCCTGAACTGTGCAGCCGACGAGCTCTCACGGCTTCAGCCCCTCCCGGGAGATTGGCGACTCCATCCCCAGTCGGTTCAGCTGATTTGGGACCAGTTCGGGGACGCACAGATAGATCTGTTTGCCTCTCACGACTCGACCCATTGCGCCCTGTATTATTCCCTGACGCTCGGCACGCTCGGCACGGATGCACTGGCGCACAGCTGGCCGCAGGGCCGCAAATATGCGTTTCCCCCAGTGAGCCTTCTTGCGCAATTCCTGCGCAAGGTCAGGGAGGACGAGGAGCAGGTCACTCTGGTCGCGCCGTACTGGCCCACCCGGACCTGGTTCTCCGAACTCATACTCCTCGCGACAGCACCTCCTTGGCCGATTCCTCTGAGGAAGGACCTCCTTTCTCAGGGACGGGGCACCCTGTGGCACCCTCGTCCCGATCTTTGGAACCTCCACGTGTGGCTCCTGGACGGGACGAGGTAGGTTTGAGTACCCTACCACCAGCAGTGGTGGCTACCATCACTTCCGCTAGAGCGTCGTCCACGAGACACGTCTATGCGTTGAAGTGGAACCTCTTCGTCAACTGGTGCTCTTCTCACCGAGAAGACCCCCGGAGATGTTCGATCAGTGTTCTGCTTTCCTTTTTTCAAGAAGGGTTGGAGCGAAGGCTGTCTCCCTCCACCCTCAAGGTCTATGTCGCCGCTATTGCCGCACATCATGACCCGATAGAAGGTAAGTCGGTGGGGAAGCATGACCTGATCATCAGGTTCCTGAGGGGAGCG